ATTATTATTATTAGCAGCAGCAGCAGCAGCAGCAGCAGCGACTACTGTTGTTATTATTAACTTGAGACTGAGTATGACCAGACAAAACATATCAAGATTGACATGGTGGCAATCAATGTAATATTAGCAGAACTCAAAGGATTTTGTAGCAGTCCTGCCATGTTAAGGTGGGTTTTGCCACAGAAATGATATAAGTAAAAGTAGTGACAGTCCTTATACACACAGTTCCTCAGATGTGTGCTGTCTGCCGTTCAGTGCTTTTCTAACAACGCTGTTATAGAAAGGTACTGTACCAGGCAGTGAGTTTTATTAAATACTATCACTCAAGGCTGTGCAAATGATTCTTTGAACAACAATTACACCAGTTCCCCAGGAAGCCAAAAAGGAGTCTCACTGAAAACGAACAAATGAAAAACAAAAACAAATGATGCGTACAAGTCAAACAGATTTTTAACGCTAAACCCAAGTGCTATCAGGCATGCCTATGTCCTCCTCTGAGCTTTTGTCATGGCTGTGTAGTGGCACTTTGGATTCTTCGAATCCCCATGCCAATGTTAAACCCAGCCGCTAGAAAAAGGAAATGAGCTTTCGATGGCAGAAGAAGAGAGGCAAGTCCACAAGGTGCTAATTATTCTTTACAGCAGGAGTTCTCTATCCCTGACGTGACAGAATATGTCCCAACACAACAGGGATTCATAAACATATGAATATTTAAACACATTCAGAACAACTGTCAAGCGATGCTGCCATTGGAATCTGCTGTACATGTCTATAGCGACAAGCACAGAATACAGATCTCAGCTTACCACTGCACCACAGAGGCACTGGCTTACAAAAGGCCACAAGACATTCGGAAGGATACCCTCGTACGTAGCAAAAATGTAATTTTCAAACTTGCAGATGAGAAAAAAAGAAATTCCTAGTAAGCGCAAAGCTGAATTCTTTTGTTATGTCTGATTGTTTGGAACAGGAATGGCTTTACAGTAAAGGGTGTATTTTAAGCCAAAATGTAAGAAAAATAAAATACTCTGACATCATATACATTTTTATAAAATGTACGAATTAAGGTAAACAAAACATTATACCACTTTCATTCCACCACAATATTTTAAATCAAAAGAATCATAATCATGATATTTAGAAAAGTATTAATATATATGGCTGCGATTCTTTGATTTGATTAGAATAAAATCACATTTGTATATTTTTGTTACACAGAATGAAAGTCAGAGTCTTGAAGGCCAGAAATTGCAATTAACAGATACATATTCATAAATTATTATCTAAGAAATCTGCTTCTAATGGTTATTTAGTTTCCTTGGAATTTTTAAATTCAAGGCTGCATTGTGGAGATTAAACTCAGTGCTATATATGTTGCTTGACATTTGGGATACGGATAAAATGAAGCTCTTTATAAAGACTGAGTATGATTCATGTCTTCCCTCCTACACTGAGACACTGTACAGTCATTCCTCCAGCATTTTCCTTGTACAAAAAAAACCATCAAATTTCCCAATGCCCCTTTCTGCACAGACACTTAAATTAGGCCTTTGGAGTTCACCTTTTCTGTTCTGATAGAGGGCCGAGTACTGCTGAGAAACCAATACAACCTAAAATGTGAACAGAGTTTTAGACTGCTAAAAATATTAACAGTGCATCATGTTATTTGACATGAACATAATGAAAAGGTAATAATGTTTGACCAGGACTGAGCATGTCATGCTTTACTGCAATTCATAGGTACAGAAAGTGGACAAGACATCACTTAATACAGTGTTAAGCCAAAACATGAGGTCAGTATAGCCTGTATGACCAAAAGCAGAGAGTCTACCAGAACCCGGAATTCTGCAGGAGGGATGTGAGGGACCACTTCTTCTACGAGGAAGTCGGTCAAATCATGCCTTGTGGACAATGTCATCTCAGACGTCATTCCAGAATAGCGCACAAATGCTCACTTGGGTTTAGATCCGGTAACTGAGAAGGCCATGACATATGGATAACATCAGTGTCATCCTCATCAAACCACTTGTGCTCTGTGGATGGGGGATTTTCATCCTGACAGACAGGACTTCAGATTGAAAACACTGCAATGTGGGGCGAAGATGATCTCTCTGCCATTAAGTATTGGTTAGCACCATGTTTTCTAAGGGAATGGATGTAACCAAACCGTACCAGGAAAATGCACCCCACAACATTACTGTGTCTCTCTCAAATGACTTCACCATGTTGTATGGCAACACATGCAGAAAGGCTGTAAGTACTGTCGTCCAGAACGGTTTCTCGTCTAGTATAGAAATGAGGTTCAGTTTCCTGATAAACACTGCAACACACATAAACAGAGGAAGCACTAGTAAAACAAGACTGATTGCTTTTTTAATGAGTACGACTTTTGAAAATATTATTTTGGCAGGCCAGTATATTAGTTCTATTTATATATTAAGCATTGCTCACTAGTACGTTATTTCAGTTCTTTGTCTGAATACAAAGTGAAGTGCAGTACACTGTACGTGACAGAGCAGAAGAAATGAAAAGGAAAAAAAAAACATGTGTAAATGTTGTGACACTAATGGCACTGCACTGTTTCTGAAAAAGAACATTAATGCTCAAAATCTGTATTGCATGCAAACTACATTTTTCCACCTTGTGTTCTGTTAAGAAACAATAACTTT